GTTGGGGTTTTCATTTTAATTGTATTCTTGTGAATGTTTAATTTCCAAACTGGCATTTGGTACATTATTAGAGCAGCAATCAGTGATAAAACATCTTGTTGCAATGTTTACACTTAGGAAACTAAATTATATATGTACAATGAATATATATATTTTATAGAAGAGTTATTTTTTCAGCTTTATTATGAGTTATAGATGGTCTTATGAAGGTATTCATCCAAACCTAATGCTACTGCTTCTTGTTGATATTTGAGGGTAATTTTGTAAATTTAAATTATCTTAATTTAATTCAAAATGACTCCTTCTTAGAACAAGAAGGAAAAATATTTTACATGCAAAAATAGTTTCTTCCCTCTACTATCAATAGAAGCAGGAGATACCCTGCAATTCAGTTCAATATGTATATAGTAAAGGACAAGGAGACCATATTCTTCATTACATACCACCATGCTTTGGATTGCTATCTACTATATTGGGTCTGCCCCTTTCTGTCTTGGAATTGCATTCCTTTATGTTTGCCTGGAAGAGCAAAATGGCCTTCTTGTGCTAGAAGTGATACCCTTGTTGCTCTATAAAATAGTCAACAGCAGTACAGCAGTATTTGGGTCCACATTACCCCAAAGGCATCAGTATTCAGTGACCAACACCCAATGTATTTGTTCATGAACTGGGAAGTTGTAGCTGGCAGCTGAGTCTGTAGCTGTCATGCCACTACACCAGCCAAAACTTTTTATATAGGCTGCTGAAAACCTCTGCAGCATAGCACACATTTATTTCAGACATAATCTTATCTTTTAAAAAGATTTACTACTAGAATGTATTTGGACTTTCTGGGTAGGAATTTTTTTTTTTTTTTTTCTTGAGAGAAGGGAGGGGAGGAAGCAGGCAGACTGCTATGTGCTTGGAGATGGTCTTATTTCTTCTCAAGAAAGCTGGAATGTCTTGTGTTGAGTTCCCTTAGTTTACATCTAAGGTCTTAAATAAGATGGGTGAGTTTGTTTCCCCACACTTTTGGAGCTCATTCATGCTTTTTTTTGTTGTTTAAATGTTGGTATTTTATGTTTTAAATTCTAATGTCCACATGAATAGTTCAGAAATACTTGTATGTCTCTCAGATGTGGCCTCTCTTCCTGATTATGACATATACCAATTGTTTAACCGATTAGT